GAGGTCAATGTCAGAGGGCGGGGTGGGAGGGCCTGGACACTGGACATCCTTAGGAGGGGAGACAAGCCTTTGTGAAGCTGTAAACTGAGGCAGCAGCTCTGCATGTGTCCCTAGGAAGCTTCTTGACATCCAAAGGAGAGGACAGTGAGGAAGATGAGGATACCGAGTACTTCGACGCCATGGAAGACTCCACATCCTTCATCACCGTGATCACCGAGGCCAAGGAGGACAGGTAGGCTCTCCGGGCAGGGCGGCCGCCCTGGAAGAACCCTCCTGGGTTAGCCGGTCACGCCTTGTTCTTCTCGTGCTCCATCTGTTCCTCTTTGTTCGTGGGGTTTTAAGTCTCACTCCAGATGGCATTTTTGCTTAGACTGGTTGTGTTCTTCCCTAAATAAAAAATGCCCAGAGTTTGTATCAGGATTTCATTTTAAATGGAGTTGGAGAACAGAGCCCTGGCTGGATCCAGTTCCGGCCTGGGAGCGGGGCGGCGTGTGGTTTGGGCCAGGAAGGCTGGGGCTCACTCGGTCCTGCCTGAGAGCTGCACAGGGTCCCACCTGTTCCCTACACCATGTCAGCATTCCAGAACAGACGACAGATGCAGGAAGTATCTTTTATTTTCTAGTTCCAAGCCTTTATTTTATTTGTCATAAAAGCCTGCTCTTTCAGGATGTCTCTAAATACACATTAGAACACACAGTAGTAACTGGGACATTAGTAGTAACTAGCACGGAAACCCATGTTGTTGGACTCCCTGGGAGCCTCAGGAAGCACCCGTGGGCCAGGGTGGACCCTGCTGCTGCACAAGCATGTGCAAAGGGAAGGCATTAGTCCGGTGGGCAGGCTGGGCTTAGCCGCGTCAGGGCTGTGGTCAGAGGGGAGCATGTCGGGGCTGGAATATCCATTTAATGTAATTGGGAGTTTCATTAGGATCTTTATCCTCGTCAAATTGCTCAAGGTCCTAACAATAAAAGGGTTGGTGAGTATGGCAGGGTTGGGGGACACAGAGGTGGCAGTGAGCTCCACAGGTGTCTGGGACCCCTGCTGTGGCCTGGGAGGAGTCCTGGGACAGTGACATAACTGACCATAACCTTCACCATGGGGTGTGTCAGCCATAGAGCCTCCCATGCTTGCCTACAAATGGATGAGGAACTGCAAGCTTCCCAGTGGCCTCACTCCCTGCGTCTGTTCCACTGCCCACCATACCCCACCTGCCTTCCATGGGCCTCTGAAGCCCAGTTTGGGGGAGGAAGCCAGTGAAAATCCCTGGCCTCTCCTTTTTTGCCTGCTTGGATCATGGGCTTTACCACCTCCCTGTCTTGGTTTCTTCCAGGGAGAGGGCAGTTTGGATCCCTCCTACTGGAACCAGAGGCCAAACAAGCCCAGGGCTCGTGCTTCCTGCACTGCTCAGCCAATAGACCGACCCCGAAGCTGGTCTATAGAATAAGCACTTATTATCAGAGCACCACGGATCTGAGAAGGCAGCGGGTTAACACCTCCAAAAACTGCCTTAACATTCTCAGACTAGCTTGGGATATTTAAGGGAAAATCTGGCGCTCCTCCAGAGGCCACGTGAGGGTTCCAGGGGTCTGCATGGAGCCTTCCCTCTGGCGGAGCAGTGATGACAGTCACCTGGAAACAATGCTAGGCCATAAAGATTGTAATCAGCAAGGGAGGGGGGAGGGCGGCATTGTGCCCAGTAATCAAGTATAAGTTTCAGGGTAATTATCTAAAGCTCAGGAACTGGGACAGGGGACCTTCCAAGCTCATACCACAGGGAGGGGGTTGATCAATTGCTAAGCTCTAGGGCGGGGAGAGGAGAGGCCAGGGACAGTGCAAGGCCTCCTTTGTGGGGGTCCCAATCTGGCCCTGCCTCACTGCCTCTCAGGGGTGACGAAGTAGGAGGCTTCAGGATCCATCAGCAGTGTATTTCCAGCTCAGAAAATCATTTTCCATTTCCCAATAATGTTTTTAAACGGTTTGTGTTGCTCTCAAAATGAGCACGGCTTGGCTGTTCTGAACTTCCTTCCACCCTGTCACCCAGCAGCAGCACCGTCTGGGGCTCTGCAGCCAGGAGGGTCCTGCTCAGGCTCCCTCCGGTTCCCCCCCGCCGCCCGTCCCCCAGACCTGGAGTCTCCAGGGCCCCAGACTCAGCTTCCTTCATGCCCCGTCCCCAGCAGCCTTCTACACCTCCGCCAACCGCCCCAAGCCCCTCGGCCCCTTCCCCAGCCAGCAAGCAGATGACTCCTGCTCAATATTTCTTTGGCCCCCCTGGCTCCTGGCACAGCTCCAAGGCCCACACAGCCAACCCAACCTGGTGCTGCAGCTACACTGGGAAGCAGCAGGTCCTCTGCCTGTGTGGCCCCTCCTCTACAGCACCCTCCCACTTACCCCAATGACCTAGGTGAATCCTTTCCATCCCCTGAGGTCCTGACTGACAAGTGCCCAGCCAGTGCCCCAGCTGGCCGAGGCCACCCCTCCTTGGGACTCTCTCAGCATCTGGGCTCATCAGCCACAGTGCCCCTGCTACTCTGGCCGACCATCTCCCACAAGTATTCATGGGCACAGGTATGCATCTGGCCCACATCCTGCCCTTCTGGAACCGATCCAGTGTGGGACTCGGGCCAGCAAACAGTGAGGACACAGTGGGGTCTTCTGTGACAGAGGGGGCCTGCAGGGCTCCAGGAGGCCATCCCAGAGGAGGTGCTCACCCCTGGCTTTATCTGGTCCTAGGTCAGCCAGTCCCCAGGAAGGGACTGTGTTCAGGGACCTCGGGCGAGGGCTCGCTGAGCAGCCGCTGGCACAAGGCATCAGTGGGTGGGAGCCCCTCCAAATCACTGCCCCAGGTCCCACAGCCCCACCTGAATGTCCAGAATTGGAGATACCCTATTGGAGGGGCAAGCTGTCCCTCAGACCTCACTGAGGGGTCTGTATAGAAGGTAGCCAGGTCCTGGAGAGACTTCGGGATTTGTAAACAACTTGCCTCCCCTTTTGTTTCCTCCAGAAAAGCTGAGGGTGGGACCACAGGCCCTGTGGACTGGACCTCGTCAGAAAATGTGAGTGAGGGGGAGACTCTAAGGATGGCTGAGTGGGGGAAGCCAGCACTTTGAGCTCAGGAGTCCCCGGAGCAGGCCCAATCCCCTGGTCTGCCTTCATCTGACTGTTCAGGCAGAGCCAGCCTGACCCTCCTGCCAGCAGCATGCAGGAGCTGGCTGGTCCTCAGGCTTTGCTGGGTCAGAGGTGAAGGAGAGGGGTGGAGGGGGAAGGGGTGGAGGGCCAAAGGGTGATCTGGCTTCTGCTGATCTGCACAGTTTCTCTGGCAGGTGCTCGATGGTGCCTCACTTGTGCCCAAGGAACCCCCCAAAGTCAAGAGGCGCACCTGCATCCCCGACAAGCCCAACTACAGCCTTAATCTCTGGAGCATCATGAAGAACTGCATTGGCCGGGAGCTCTCCAAGATTCCCATGCCGGTGGGTGCTGGGCAGGGCGGCCTCACCAGCTCCCCTGGGGCTGTTCTCTTATGCGTGGATGAGAAGTGATGGCCTGTGTGAAGCATAAGCTGCCTTGGCCAGTCATTTTCTTAATGAAACCTAAGGAGCATGTAATGAATTAACTGAACCGTGTTCATCAGCAGTGCTGCAATCCCCCAGGAGCAGAGGCCTCAGGCCCTGAGGGAAGGTGCAGGGAGGGTCTCTGCATTGATCAGAGACAATGGGGACCGCCCCCCAGCACCACTGCACCTGATGGGGCCTCACCATATCCCGGAAGTCTGACCACAGATGGGGAGTGGCAGGATTGGGCTGTGTGTGGACAGGGAGGCCCTCCTCTGTGCTGGGAGCTGTCCCTGGTGCCCTGCCCAGTGAGGTCACACAGCAGGCTAACAGCAGGCTGGCATCCTCGTGCTGCTGGGCCATAATGGCATCTCCACGAAGGAAGGGCTTCAGGGCTTCAGGCCAGATTTGGTTTTACTGTGTGACTCAGGATGTGTCCCTTCACAGTCTGGCCTCTGTGTCCATACCTGCAAAGTAGGGAGAATAACAGCACCCACATCAAAGTGTCTGTGAGGATGAAACGAGAGGACACAGGGGAGACCCTGCCTGATGGCTGGCCCAGGGTCCCAGCCCAGCACCACAGGGGGAAGGTGACTCTGCCCTGTCTGAGGTCAAGATGGGGGCCCCTCCACAGCAGCTCTCCCCCAGAAAACTTGCATAATCGCTCAGAATGAGAAAGACCCACTTTGTCCATTATTCACTCATTCACGGATTCCTATGATTCACGTCAGAAACCCTGGTCTTCCTCGTGTTTACATCCTAGGACGGAGACTGACAGCAAATACAATGCAAGTGTGCAAGACAGCAGGTCAGGAAGCAGTGAGAGCTGTGGAGAAATGAGGCAGGAGGGGCCGGGGAGGCGAGCAGGTGGGGGGCATTGGTGTTAGACAGGAGTCATCAGAGGAACCTCCCTGAAGGTGTCGTCTGAGCAGTAATGTCCGTGAACATCTGAGAAAAGCAGGTGCTGTGCTGACCCCACGTCTGTGCTGGAAGCAGCTGTCTCAGCTGGACACCCCGACCTGACCACCCTCCTGCCCTGCCTGCAGGTCAACTTCAACGAGCCCCTGTCCATGCTCCAGCGGCTGACGGAGGACCTGGAGTACCACCACCTGCTGGACAAGGCAGTGCACTGCACCAGCTCCGTGGAGCAGATGTGCCTGGTGGCCGCCTTCTCTGTGTCCTCCTACTCCACTACTGTGCACCGCATCGCCAAGCCCTTCAACCCTATGCTGGGGGAGACCTTCGAGCTGGACCGCCTCGATGAGATGGGCCTGCGTTCCCTCTGCGAGCAGGTGAGGCCCCCTCACACTCCAGCCAAGCTGCTCCTGCCAGGCCTGGAGGTCGGAATGAGACGAATGGGATGTGGCCTCTGACCCTGATGTGCCCACACCCAAGGAGCGGTCAAGCTGAGACCCAGTCAGGCGGCTGGGCCTCCTTCGGCAGGGGCAGGCGCAAGCCAGGCCCCAGAGCACACTGTCCCAGCAGGCCTCCTGGACATGGTGAGGGCCACCCTGAGAGGAGAGCCTGGTGAGGACAGTGTGTGGGAAAGGGGAGGACTCCGCTCCCGGCCAGGAACCGCGGAGCAGTGCTCCAGGGACATTTGTACGGTGCTGTCAGGGAGTCCAGGTGGGCTGGAGTGTGGGTCACCACTGAGCTGGCAGAGGAGTCTATGCCCCATGGGATCCTGGTCAGTGATAGTGGGAGCCTAGAGTGTGAGGAGCTCCAGGGGTCCTGCCCTGGGGCAGGGGGTCAGTTCACCTCTATCCTCTCCATGCTTTCCCAGCAGAGACACAGTCTCCCCACAGGGCAGAGCCCAAACCTGGCCTCACAGGCTGCGAGCCTCAGCAGTGGCACCTCAACCTGAGCTGACGCGTCCTTGTATGAAGAAGGGTGATTCTGTTGGTGGCTCAGCTGGGTGGACGCAGGGAGGTGTGCAGGAAGGCGCCCAGGATAGAACTTCCAGGTCAGGCTGCCGCTGAGCATGTCCTGCGTGCCCAGCACGGCTCTGGGCTCTGGGGTTGAACCCAAAGCAGATGGTTCACAATCTGGTGGTGAGTTTAAAAGGTGTGCTGGGCTGCTGTGTGGACCTGTAGGAGGCGGCTGAGGTAGCCCGGCTAGGGGAGGTCAGAGCCTGGGCATGTTTAGAAGGTGGAGCCTGGGGATCTGCTGACGCTCTGGATGTGGGGAGAGAGGGGGAGGCAGCAAGGATGACCCCAGGTTCTTGGCCTGAACTACTGAGTGAATGCATTTCTTCATTCAACAGAGTTGATCAAGGCCCATGGTGTGCCAGGTGCTATTCAGGCTGTCCTCACGGGGTGGGGGGCAGAGGACAGGTACTGTGTATGTCAGATGGTTCTGGCTCTTTCAGAAAAGGACTGGTCAAGGAGTGGTTTGGCTGGTACAGAGAAAGTGGGGAAGGGCAGAGAAGAAGCTCGGTGGGCAGCCAGGGGCTCTGGCAGATGGAGGAGGCATGACACCCTGACTTGTTTCATGGGGGCCCCCTGGCTGCTGTGGTAAGATGGAATGAGGAGTGGAGCAGGGAGGCCTTAGCACCATCCACTGTGGCCTGGGAAGATGGGGGGTAGAGAAGGGGCAGATTCTGGATGCACTTTAAAGAAGGAACCGCCAGGATTTGCTTATGATTAGATTAGGAACGTGAGAAAGAGGGGCCACGGCTAACTCCAAAGCATTTGGTGTGTGCAGCTGGAAAGACCAGATCACCTGCCTGAGAAGGAAGCTATGACGCAGAGCCCCAGGGCCCGCCCCTGGGGGGGTCACAACCCTGAGTTTGCCAGTGGGGTGGGCTCTAGTGAGTGTGTGTGTGGGGGCCGGCTATAGGCAAAGGGCAGGCTTAGAAACACTCACCCATTACACAGGAGCTGGTGGCAGCTTTGGCCTGTGCTCCTGAGATGGGGAAAGGAAGTGGGGGTGCCACTTATGGAGATGGGGATGTGAGATGCAGGCGGGGGCATCAGGAGCTCTGGTCAGTCTGAAAAGCCGTCTGAATGGAGTTCTAGTGGACAACCGGGGGGCATGGCTGGGGTTCTGGGGCGAGGCTGAGCAGGAGCCTGACTGATGCCATGAGACGGAAATGAGGTGCCCTGCTCAGTGAGGAGGCTGGGGAAAGGCTGAGCCCTAGGGCCCTGTAACCAAAGGAGCCACAGAAATGAGGAAGAGCAGATAAGGGAAAGTTGATGGGGGGTGTCCTAGTAGAGAAACCGGGGTGTCCAATGCTGTGACAGGATGGGTAGAGGCGCTGGGGGCCCCCATGTGGTGGGCAGAACTCACTGCACTGCCATCAGGGCCCCGAGCAGGTCACCGACCTGGACTCCCACACTGAAGCCAAGCTGGCCAGGAAGCAGGGCCCAACTCTGCCCCTCAGTTAAAATGGCCTCCTCAGTCTGGGCCTCTTCAGTGTCCCACGGCACAGCAGACACGACCCTTTGCTAGCAAGTGAGATTAACTAGAAAATGGGCATGGAAGCCCTTGGTAGAGAGTAACAACCTCGCTTTCTCAGCCCTCAGCTCAGCCTGTCACAGGCACCATGACATCCTTGAGGCAGGGCTCTGTCATCACGCCCATTTCACAGCCCAAGAGTCAGGCATAGCGACACCCCAGCCCTCGTCTCACAACCATACGGGGTGGGGCAGGCCCGGGACAGCTGCCCAGGCTGCATACACTGCCACACCCTTGCTTTTACACCTGGACCACTGTCCTTCCTGGGGTCTGCTATGGGTCTGTAGCCCCCAGAGGAGCAGCCAGGCCTGCTGTCAGGGCCACATAGCCATTCATACTGGGCACAGGGCAGGCTGTCCCCTCTGCTGGTTGAGGGGCAGGACTGGGAATGTGTCCAATGGAAGCTCATGTCCTGTGGATTTGGTCTCAGGTGAGCCACCACCCTCCAGCAGCTGCGCACTATGTGTTCTCCAAAAATGGCTGGAGCCTCTGGCAGGAGATCACCATCTCCAGCAAGTTCCGGGGAAAATACCTCTCCATCATGCCACTAGGTGAGCTGGGACCCTGTGTTCTCCTAGGGCAGAAAGACATTCTGGATAAGGGGAGGGTTTGACCAACCCAGAAGCCAGGTTGGGGCCTCCAGGGGTGACATTAGTCTCCCTTCAGGTATGCTCGCTGCACCCCACCAGACTTCCTGGATGCCACCCTGGCCTGTGTATCCCTTCCCAGCCTGCATGAATGCTGCTTCTGGTTCTCAGGACCCTGGCACTGTGGGCTGGCTGGGGTCCAGCATGGCAGGCCATGACCTCTGACCCTATATCTGGCCTCCAGGTGCCATCCACTTAGAATTCCAGGCCAGTGGGAATCACTACGTGTGGAGGAAAAGCACTTCGACTGTGCATAACATCATCGTGGGCAAGCTCTGGATAGACCAGGTCAGGGGGTGCCCTCAGGGAGGTGGGGCTTGTGGCCCAAGGATAGGCTGCTGACCAGTACCCTCCCTCAGCAGACAGGGGACATTGAGATTGTGAACCATAAGACCAAGGACCGGTGCCAGCTGAAGTTCTTGCCCTACAGCTACTTCTCCAAAGAGGTGGCCCGGAAGGTAAGCAAGGCCACCCCGCAGACTCTTGGGGGCCCCAGAGAGGGCCTGTGCCTATGCTGGTTCTGCCAATGCCCACAGGTAACAGGCGTGGTGAGTGATGGCCAGGGCAAGGCCCACTACGTGCTGTCGGGCTCATGGGATGAACAGATGGAGTGCGCCAAGATTGTGCAAAGCAGCCCCAGCAGCCCCAGCTTGGATGGAAAGCAGAAGACAGTGTACCAGACGCTGCCAGCCAAGCTGCTGTGGAAGAAGTACCCACTGCCGTGAGTGGGGCTGCAAGGGGCATCTGAGGGCAGCAGGGCAGGGCAAAGAACAGACAAGGAGAGGAAGAGAAGGAGGCAAGTGGGCAGGCAGGGGACCCCGCCCAGCCAGACAGGAAGCAAGCAGCAGGCATAGGGGTGAGGAGGGTTCGTTCCACATGTGGGCAGAAAGTAGTGTTGTGTGGCTGACATCCCAGCGTGCAGCCAGACACCCAACTGTAAGTAAGTGGTAGCAAGTCCTGTGCAGAGACTTTAAACAGCCTAATGGGACAGAGTCCCCCATAGCCTGAGAAATGAAAACCAAGAAACAGAAAACTATAAAACATGGCACAGCAGACTCTAAAGACAGCAAAGCAAAAAGTCTACAAAAGAAAAATAAAATAACTGAAATCGAGAACTCCATGGGAAGGTTTAATGGAATCCATTAACTGAATAAGTCAGAAGAAATAATAAAACATTCAGGGAAAGAGACAAAACTTGGATGGGGCCGGCAGAGTGGCGCGATGGTTAAGAACTGGCTTGGGACGCCAGAGAGCCCTGGTTCAGATCCCATGTATGAGGGCCAGTGACACTGCCCTCTACAGCTAAGATGCTGAACAACAGCTCGACCTGGAGCTGGGCTGCCGTGAGTCACCGGCGAC